GACGCTGCGCTGCGGCGGAGGGGCGGCGACTCAGACGCTGTGCTGCGGCGGAGGGGCGGCGACTCAGACGCTGTGCTGCGGCGGAGGGGCGGCGACTCAGACGCTGCGCTGCGGCGGAGGGGCGGCGACGACTCGGACGCTACGCTGTGGCGGAGGGGCGGCGACTCAGACGCTGCGCTGCAGCGGAGGGGCGGCGATACGAACGCTGCACTGAGGAGGAGGCGACACGGACGCTGCGCTGCAGCAGAGGGGCGGCGACTCAGACGCTGCGCTGCAGCGGAGGGGCAGTGACTCAGACGCTGCGCTGCAGCGGAGGGGCGGTGATTCACCTCTGGTCAGGGCGGAAGCGCGTGTCCGTGGGAGGCAGGAACTTGGCTAGCTCCGACTCCAGCTCGTTCAGCTCGATGGCAAACCTCGTGAAGCCGTAGTATTGCTCGTAGTCCTGCGGCATGGCACCTACATGGGTGATAACAAAAAAAGTGGGGACTGAAAAAAAATTGGGTCCGAGGGAGGAGAAGTGACACCCCCCTCGAAGCTATGGATTCTGTGCAATATAAAACACATTTGGTGGCATTTCTCGATAAGATAAAATCACGACCGCCACGCGAACCGTCTCCCGAATCTACCAAATGCCGCAAAAATCACCAAGCTGCCGTCGCCATCGCAACCGAATGAGAGAAATACTACAGATCAAACTTTACTTGAATTTTAAAATGAGATTAAATCATATTAATTTTAAAAGTAATAATTTTACGAGAATTCTCCAGTGTTTTCACCACTTTCATGATACCTACCGTTATTGCTTGAGTAACAGCAATTGTCTAGAGTAACGATAAAATGTCTTAAAAACTTTGTATTCACTAAAACATTGCACTTTTCTAACTAGTTTGGCAAACGATCAGTTGCTGTAATCTTGGGACTAGAGCCGGTAAGTCTTGGACCAGCTAATATCGCCACATATCTGCCAGAGACATACAATCTCTCTCAAGTGCAGTTGTTTTCAATTTTATCACTGACAATTTGCAAGTTTCCCATTCTGCCATTCTCGCGACATGATAAAATGCACTGCTGTTACGATGTGTTCATATCCAATTTTCTATGTTATAACTCCTTAAAATCTTAGTGTTTTACAAGTTGGTGTGATCAGTGATATATCCGCCGTGGGGTGAGACTATATTTCGCTACATTTCTTTCGGATTGAGTGTTTCTGAGCAAGAATCACGTAATACAGGCTTTAATATAAATATATATAGAATGACTACCATCAGTTCTAGATCTAGTGGGCGTTTTGACTGTTGCCTAATACATGTGTAAGTCAATGACTCTTACTGGACTGCAGATATGAGTGGGCAGTTAGTATGCACAAGTCCAAGTACACATTGCCTTATATCGCAACATATACTGCCATCTGCCAGTTGAAATATCGCAAGCAGGCACTGTCAATCATCGGTGGGCAGACGTATGGCCGAAACCAAGAGTGCTAGAGGGTATTTAAATGAAAGACCTTGTCCCTTAAGTATGGGCTGATAGTCATATCCACCACAGTACAGTCTCACAGACTAGGAGGTGAGAACAAGCTAAGCCCAATGCGAGGACAGATGTAATCGACAAGTACCAGCCAGACCTAGTAGTACAACAGCACGGGCTAAACGTACGGGATCGAATGATACCACACGTCTTTCTGTCACTCAATGCTTGTGCTTACCTGGGCGCCAGACGCATTTTGCAGATGGCGCCACTCCGCAGTAGAATGTCTCGTTCCACTTGCCGAATATCTGCTTGATGGTGTTGCCCTGAGGGTCTGTGATGACTCCATGCACCTCCGACGCTTTCTCAGACCAATATGCTGCCTGCAAAATACACACAAACACAGAAGTTAATAGTGATAGAAGCAGCAGCAGCCATAACAGTAGTATTAGCAGCAGCAGCAGTAGCAGCAGCAGCAGCAGCAGCAGCAGCAGCAGCAGCAGCAACAGAACAAGAAGAACAGCAGCAACAGAAGTAACAGCAGCAGCAGCTGTAGAAGCAGAGGTAAACTCTTTATGACCACAAAAAGGACATCCTAGAAAGGTAATCAATGATACTTAGAAATGCTACCAAATGGAACTCGAATGTTTCCCACTACAAATAAACCATTAGGGAGAACCACAAGCGCAGTTATTTACATACATACATGGGATTCCTTTACCATTTGTTCTTTCAGGAAAATTGCGAAATTTCAAAACTAAAATAACTTTCAAGCAGTTTTCACATCTGCACAACAGATGGCACACCTTGGCCATATTAGACTGACCATGCAAGATTAATGATAAACATTCCGCAGGCTAAAGACCCGGTAAAACATGAGATCAATTGCGGCAACTGCGTGCATTAATTAATAACTAATTGCACTAATTAATCATTCAACGAGAGTACCTTGGAAAATTCCATCTTGCATGTGATATCGTTGCACTGTATAAACATTTCTCCGTACTGGTCGACCCAGCGTTGGCCACCCAGCAGGTTGTGAATACACGTCGTTACCTTGTTCCACTTATACTTCTCATTCCACCTGCAGAAATTATACCAGAGCTCAGACCGAAACGCGTAGCACAATTCACCGCAGTCGCAAATACAGAATCGAATGAATTTATGCGCATGATGTATATTCATATAAATTATAATCTGGTAATGTGATTGCGTACGATAATCAAGTGTTATAATGGTAATGAAATAACTGTGCATTTTAATTATATATAATAATAGTGTGTTATAGTTAGATTTTATAATCACGTATTATAATTATGAATACAATTCCCAATAAAATTAATGATGGCATTAATTTATATTCAATTAGTGCTTCATGTATGTGCATCCTTGAATAATAACATCACTCAGATATCAGTGGTCCGTCTGATTGTTGATCTCTATATTATTATAATTAATCGTACCAGTAATTTGCTACCCTAGGAAAGACTTTATTAGAGTGGCGATCACGAAACTTAAAACACACACATATGAGAACTACGAAGTTGCTAGGAAATATAATGAAATGCCAAAATCAAAGTGGAACATTTAGTATTAAATTGACTACGTCACGAATTTTCCATGGTAAAATTTGTAAAAAAAAAATTGCCATTTTTTACATTAAAAGTAAGAACTAACGTTACTAAATATATCCTCAAACTCTCACCTGGAAACTTCACCTGGAATGTTTTTACGTTGGTTAAATTTGCAAAAATCTAGACGATTTGGTAATTTCTGTTGTCTAACACTATTCCCCCAGTACTGTTCAGATACTGGCGTCTCTCTGTTTTTCACCGGCAAATTAGGGTATATAAAAAAGGTATATAAGCATGAAAAGTAAACAGAAACACTAATTGTATTTTAATACATTTTATTTTGTACAAATAACACACAAATATACTACTTGATGGTGCTAGAAATTCATGACGTAATCACTTTAAATGATGAAGCTTAGATCGGCCCTCCTAAGAGTTTCTGGGTGAGGGCAGAAATAGCATGGATTTTTTATGGACGTACTGACTATCGGCAACAGCTACTGCTAGTCTAGGACCAGACCCTGGACTTCAACAATCATGCTGACCTACCTTGGAAGAACAACAGTGCATGTTCCGATTGGCTGAACCTCGAGCGAACGTCCCCAGAACTTGTTTTTGAACCGTATGTCCGCAAAGTAGATGAAATTCTTCGAGTCAGCGTGGCACGCGCTAACCGGAGGATGATGACTCACCTGGGGAGTGAAAAACACATGAACCCACCAGTCACTCTACTACTCTTACGGACGCTTAGACAGGAATACACACGTTATTCTATTTAAGCCAGATTTGCCTTACCCAGCTTTGCCCCTGCTTAACCCTGCATACATACACTCCCTCTCACCCATCCTTGCCTCCCACCCCAGCCACACACATACAGTGTTACACGCTCTCTCACCCAACCTTGCCCCCCACCCCAGCCACATACATACAGTGTTACACACTCTCTCACCCAACCTTGCCCCCCACCCCAGCCACATACATACA